GAGTGGTCTTGGGATGGATTCTAAACTCGGAAAGATTACACCTCTTTCAATGAGTTAATGCTTTAGGACAATGTGATTACATCTTCCTATTTTAGTATGGTTGGATGACGACTTTGTAAGGCATTTTCAAAGCGAGGCCCTAACGGAATGTGCTCGAGGTTAACTCTCGGAACTGATTCTAAGTGATATCCAATGGGTATAGCTCTGGAACTAAGTGCTTGCATACATCAAATATCAGTTATAGTATTTGTTCAAAGCAATGCCCAAACGGAATGTGCTTGGGGTGAATTTCAAGGCATGATTCTGAGTGAAACTCAATAGCTATAACTTTTGGACAAAGTAATTGCATTCATCGAATTCTAGTTTCAATACTCTTGAAAAAGAGTCACGATAAAAAGGCATCTCACAAATCACACAAGAATGCTCTAATGTTGGGACTAGGTTATTGACAAATAAAGAATAACTACGCCAAAAAGCCTTGTGAACATATCCCTTGTGATACACTATTTGCAAAAGAATTGAGCAGCAGAAACTAAGCAGTTTTCTCTTCTTTTTTTTCAAGTGCCTTCTGCATTGGTGCAGGTTCCTTTCAACTGGTTTTGAGTTTACGTTTCACATTTTCAGTCAAGCTTTTGAAATGTTTGAACTGGTTCTGGGGTAAATATTAGGAATGATTACACCAAATGTCTCAAACCTTTGACACACTAACAAACTTTTCTCAAATCTTTGATTTGCTGCAGTCGTCGCTTTTAACCTTTCCAAACGTTACAGGTAAGATCATTTTGGACAGTTTCCATCCAAAATGCATTTAGTTGATCCCCAAAATTAAGTTTGACTACAGTTTCAACATTTTAAAGAAGGCAAAATAGTAATTTTATATATTTGCATATATTACAATTAAAATAATAAAAAATTGAATATTTTCCCTAAACCCTACACTCAAAACCATAAATTTCTTTGCCCAAAAAAATTAAATAATCTTAGATTTGAGGGTCGGTTGATCTATTTTTCATGAAAATAAGGAACGTATGAGAATTCATTCAAATGAAGAATCTTTTGATTCTCCAACTAATGTCAAAGTGAAATCTCAATTATTTTTATTTTTTTGATGATCCAAGAAAATATATAATATAGTGAACTTTCGATTTAATATAAGGGTGCGTTTGATTGCAAGGGTGGAAAATAGGTGAAAAGAAAGTGTTTTACAGGGAAAAAATTTGCCTAAAAAATGTTTTGTAAGGAAAATAATTTCAAGTGT